CCCTCTAATGGAGGACAAAAAATCTGCTGAGGAAGAGAGTCATATGTAAAAACAAATTGGCTTTTATCTGGGAGTTCCTATGTCTTCTTTTTTTTTTAAGTAGGCCTCCTTCCCAGCCCAGAGCCCAATGTGGGACCCGAACCCATGACCCTGAAATCAAGACCTAAGCTGAGATCAAGAGTTGGAAGCCTAACTGAGTGAGCATCTCCAGGCGCCCCTGGGAATTCATATTTCAAAGAAGGGAACAATCATTCTGAAGGTATAGAAAAAAAAAAAAGTATATACCATAGATTTAAGGTTGTATATAAAAGGGTACTTGTTTAGAAACTGTTAACAATGTTTGATGGAATATATTAACAGATAATAAGGTATTTAACAAATACACGCTCCAAATCTTCAGAATGTTGTGAACAGATGAAATAAAAGAAACTTTTCACTCAAGCTGAAAATGTCTTTCTTTGGTAGTTGTGGACTAGGTTGTTAGGAAAATTCTAACGTAGTACCCTGCAAAGTGAATTCAAAGTAGAGAATAAAAGCAGCACGTGTGCTCACACACACATATGCACACACTGTACCAATGTGCCTTTATGGCCTAGATTTCAAGGGGAAAAAATAGACATTAAGATGTTGTTACAGTCCAAAAATAGCAGAGGAGTCTCTGAACTATCCACGTTTCATCGGTTGGAGCATCTGAGGGAGAGCTCCCATATACATTAATGCATTATCCTTATCACTGTAATTGATACCTAACACTTCTCAACCCATCAAAAGCAGTCCTAAATGGAAGGACATTTATCTCCATGTAAGATGACCATCACTTCGAAACCTTACATGATCTCAAATTTCATAACAGCTTAAATCACTTTCTGCAGAGAAAAATAATACATGGTGCTACTAATTCACTTCCTGGCTGCCAAGGCAAGATACGATCTCACATACCTGAACACACTGGTGACTTCCTGTTTAGGGAGTTCTGATACTATTTCCAAGTATCAGAGGGAAGAGAAGGAATATCACTAGGCCCAGATTTTACTAGCTGACTAGTTCTTTTTCCTGAAGTGGGTAGAAGCTTTGACACCATCCAGACATCCTGAAGGGCAAGCACAGGAAGAGAGATCTTTATTTCCTCTAAAATGATGCTTTACAACTTTAGGGTGACTCATCATAGCCACCATAGCACCTTTCTCATAATGAAAAGCATTACAGGAGGCATTCTCCTTTCTTACATTAACATAGATGTGTATATACACATACATAAACAAACATATATATTATGTATACATAAACGTGTGTGTGTGTGTGTGTGTGTATGTGTATGTATGTATATATTACAATGAGTCTTTTAAAGCATATTTCAAGACAATTCTGTCATGGCAGAGTCCTAATCTGTACTAGAAGTTGGGTAGGACTTCAAAATTCTGATCACCTAAGAACCGCCAGTGGATACAGTGAAACCAGGTCCCAGGGGCTTCAGATTTATTTAAAAGGAAAATAACACCAAAAAAACCCAAAAAACAAAAACACACACTAAAATAATAACAAAATATTATTATGAATAAGTATAAGGCAACAAAGTCAACAAAATAGGTAACAATAAAAATATAAAATTCCAAAACTGTCACAATAATAGAAACACATAAACAGACCCAAAACCACGACAAAAATAGGTCAAATAATCAGAGAATTCCCACTAAAAAGTTACTTATGCTGAATAATTAAAAACAAGTTTCTCCTATGTGTATTGACATAAAAAAACAAACTCTATAAAAGTGACAAAAGCAAGTTGCAGAAATATATTTATAACATGATGTTATTTTTAAAACGTATATATACACATATTTACACATTCTTAGGGAAAACAGTCTGGAAAAGCATACACCACATAGTTAAAAGTAGTTTGCTTTGGGGTACTAGTTAAGAGTCAGAATTAGTCCAACTTCATATACTTTGTTGCTTCAATATTTACAAATGCATACTGTTTTCATTTTACAAAATTCTGGATAAAAACAAAACTTGATGAAACACGTGGGCAAAATTTAAAACAGTGAAAACAGTAAGAATCTAGCTATTTCACCAGATCCCAAGGAAAGCTTCCAGAAAGTGTAGAAGAGAAGTGGCTGGAATGAGAGTCACAAGTCGTGACAAACTCATGCTTTAACTTTGGAAACCAAACAGCACAGCCGGTGAAGGATTCTGGTCCATCCCTGTGACCTGCAAAAAGTGGCAGCACGGGACATAGATGGTGCCCTAGTGCGTGGAGACGGCTTTCTCAGGGAGGCAGAGGGTCTTCAGCTCCTATTTCAACACCAGTCTTTCTATATTCATTCAGAAACAACTCCCGAAGTGCAACATGACCAGGGGTTTAAAAAAAAAAAAAAAAAAAAAAGAGGGGGAATGATGCATTGCATCTTGGCCTGTAGAGTTCCCCTAAAGAAAGCAGTAAAATGGAGGGTAGGGACAGAGGAAAGGGCGTGTGAACAGTGCACTTCTCATTACTGTATAATCGACTGCCTCAGACTGTCTAGGCTACGCCTTCTCTTCCTCCCACGAAAGAGTGAGGGGCTGTAAGAGACAGTCTGGTAGTATCTAATGGATGCTGCAGGGACTGGAAATTGAGCAAAGAGGCTGTACACAAACTATTTTCTTAAATTTATGTAATTTTGAGTCTGACCGGAAAGGTACCAGGATTCACATGGACAATAAAGAGGACATGGCTCAAATCAGGGCACAATGAACTACTGCCTACTTGTTGCTCCAGAAATAGAATTCTCCTAGCATTCTGGATTCCTGATTCAGGTATGGCGCATACATCACAGCTGGACAAACACTAGGTGTTGACAGAACTCTTCTTGTTTGTTCAAAGCTAAAAAGTTAAAAAAGAAAACAAATGATGACAATGTGGGGGGCTATTTAAAAAAAGAAAAGAGAGAAGTGACCTATCACTGTAAAGACTCATATGAGGCATCTGACTTTGATAACTTGGAGCCAGCACTGTGACCTGCCCTACCTTCTGACCTCTCCTCTTGTGGGCACTTCCTGTAGAGAAAATGGCTCTCTCACCTTTGTATCCTCAGTATACCATTGGTACTGAGATCTATTCATCTATACGGTTCTTAAAACTTTTCCCTGAAGATGTTTTTGAACCAAGTGATTACATCCCCCCAAAAAGCAGCATCAGCTTCTTTCACCATCTCCAAAAAGCTGATAATTCAGTGATGGGAGATGGGTAGTTAGGTCGGGGGATGGGCTAATTTACTCAGGAACTAGAACTTGGAGTTATTGGGGCACTTGGGTGGCTCAGTCAATTAAGCATCCAACTCTTGATTTCAGCTCAGGTCATGACCTCACAGCCTGTAAGTTCAAGCTCCACGTTGGGCTCTGGGCTGGGCATGAGGCACTGTCAGTGTGGAGCCTGTTTGGGATTCTCTGACTCCTTCTCTCTCTGCCCCTCCCCTGCTTGCTCTCTCTCTCTCTCTCATAATAAATAAACATTAAAAAAAATAATTTAGAGTTATTATAAACACAGGAAATCAGGTATTTGACCCTTTTTGCCAATAAAATGTTAAAAGCTTTTTGATAGGGTAAGAAAATGTAACACTGACTCCCCTCATAATCTGCTTCCAACGTCATTTCAAATATTTAAGAGAGGACGCAGTTGTAGAAAACCCATGCTAGCTTTTGCCCCAGAATCCTAGAGTGGTTAGCAGAGCAGCCTCTGAACACAGATTACCTGAATGAGAGTACTGACTAGCATATTGCGTGAACTTAGTGAAGTCAGCTTATCAATCAAGTTTTATCAGGAAATCAGTTTTATGAGGAAAATGGGTTTTTATGAAACTCAAATACATGTTGAATGCTTTGTACAGTACCTAGTGTATAGACGGTCCTAAATATCTATTATAGTGACATTCCTGCTTTCTTTGCCTCCAATCATGTCTCAACTCAACACAGGGCAAACAAAGAAAACAGCTGAAATATGTGCGTTAATTTATTCTTCACTGATACTGAACTAGGCAGATCTGTATGTCTTAGTCTTTACCAAATAATATACATAAATCTATACATACATACAAATATATGGAAGTATTTGTATAAAACTGAATATTCATGATTTTAAACTTCACGAACACTGTCAGGTAAAAAGTGGACTATGATACTGAGTTAATACCTCATTTTATGTTCAACCTGAAATATAAGTACACATTACATAAGACTATTAAAAAATGGTAACATAAGTCACTAACATTATAAATCTGACTGGTTTATTAGATCGAGGTGGAATGCAATAACTTCATGTAGAGAAACGAGCAATCAAAAGAACATAATTCAGGTCTTAAGAAATGGATTTATCCTAAATTGGTCAATAGTACCGAAAGAAAGCAATTCTGCCACGTACACTTAAAGTAAATCATTCCTTTAAGTATGCTGTAGCTCACTCAGAAGAGCACTTCTCAACAAGAGTGCTTGTGTAAGCAGATCCCTTTGTACAAAACAAAACAAAACGACTCAGCTGCTACACCCCTCGCACTCAGTAAAAGCTGAGTAATTTAATGTAAGGGCATTTTCTAACCCCATACCTGTGCTAAAATCATTAACACTGCTGATACAAAAATCAGGGCAGGAAAGAAGGAAGGCCTAGGATGATGGCTGGCAGAGAAATCAGTGGCTGACATATGGAAAAAACAAACTTAGAGCAGGATAACAAAACAGCTTCTCTGAAAGGGCTGCAAGGGGTAAATGAAAACACAGTCCTTATTTCTTTCACTTCTTCCTTTATATCCCTAGCAGCCATCATACTGGAAATTTTGAGCAACAGGACCATTTTTAACTTACCCACAAGTAGGCATTTGATAACACAATGTCTATTTGCCAAAAGAATTTTAAATTGTGGTTAAAGTGGAAAATAAACTATACAGCTAAATCTTTATAATAATCTCACAGAAAATGATGTTTTCTAAAATTATAGTATTTTACATGTGCTAATAAGCTAAATGACAATATTAGATTAGATCTTCCGCAACTGTGGTGTCAAAAATCTGATAGCAAATCTGCTGCTCTGTTCCGCTTGTGACATTATACGACTTGATGAGGCACTCCAACCATGGGTATGCATCTACAGATGAGAAAAAATGTTATTTATGCATTAAAACTAAACAAATATCTCTAAAATAGGTAGCTGAGCATAATGATTAGCTAGAAAAATTAACACATTTAATTTAGCTGGAGAAGTAAATAAAATACACTCACCAAATATATTATTATCTACCCTTCCAAATACACACTGGGTTCATATTATTGTGTAACAACCCTAACTAATCTTTTCCCCCACAGGACACAATAATTAAATGTGGAGTTTCCCAAACGTCTGATTGCAAAGGTAGCAGCCATCTCATTCCCATTCTTTATTTCTTTATTTCTTTATTCTTTATTTCTGCTGATTGCTTACTGACCTCCCCAGGTGTTTTTTTTTTTTTTTTTTTTTTTTTTTTTTTTTTTTCTTTTTTTCTTGGTTGACTGCAAAGAAAGTGAACCCCAAGTTCACATCAGCTCAGGCCGTTAACACCTGTCTAGCTGAAACTCCCCATCAAGTTCCAAGCACTTAGTCCAGACAATGCAGATGCTATTCCCAAGCTCTGATTATGACCACAATAAATCTATTTAAAACTTCTAGAAAAGTTTCTTAGCGCTTCTTCAAGTTCAACTTTGAAAGATACTTAATATAGTCAATCTTGGCAAGAGTCGAGCAAGATAGGCACTCTCCTCTACTGCTGGAAGAACTATAAATAGGTAAAAATATTCTTGAAAAGCAATCTGGCAGCATGTATCAAAAGCCTACCAAACCCATCTTTTTTGATATGGCAGTTTTATTTCCAGAAATCTATCCAAAAGAATTGAAACTAAAAATTAAAACTGACACCAAATAAAAAGTGTGTAAATTAAACCTTGTTAAGATGTATAAAAGCTATCTTTCTGGAACTGTTATAAAATGCAAAGACTGACCAGGGGAAAATAAAGTCTGATTAAAAATAACCTATAAGGGGCACCTGGGTGGCTCACTGGGTTAAGTGTTCGACTTTTGGTTTTTGGCTCAGGTCATGATCTTGCGGCTTGTGAGTTGGAGCCCCGCATCGGGCTCTGTGCCAACAGTGCAGACCCTGCTTGGGATTCTCTCTCTCTCTCTCTCTCTCTCTGCCTCTTCCCTGCTTATGCTCTTTCTTTCTCTCAAAATAAACTTAAAAAAAATAATAATAATGACCTCTAAAAGGTAAACTGACAGCAGCTAAATCTGCAGCTGGTAAAATTTGTTACTGATGAAAAATTGTTAATAGTGTCAAACTAACTATGAGAGGGATTTGCAAACTTCAATGTAAACAGAAATAATGACCACAAAAGGAAAACTCAGTGGCAGTAGATGGAATCAATACAATTTGACCTGAAGATCTGGTTGATTAATCAAATGTTATCCAGAGAACAACTAAAGTTGATAAAAATAATTAGTAAAATAAAAACGCATAAAATCTGAAACTAGTTAATATTAATAGAACATTTATGAATGAGGGGCACCTGGGTGACTCAGTAAGTTGAGGTCTGACTCTTGATTTTGGCTCAGGTCATGATCTCACGGTTTGTGGGATCGAGCCCCACGTCAGCCTCTGTACTGACAGCTTGGAGCCCGCTTGGGATTCTTTCTCTCCTCTCTCTGCCTCTCCTCCACTCATGTTCTCTCTCTCCCTCAGTAAATAAACATTTGAAAAAGAGAGAGAGAGAAAGAAAATTCATGAATGAATTACACTGGCTGTATGTAGTCTGTTACAGAAAAATGTTTCTTCTCAAAATTTCATCTTTGTTGGTATAATTTCAATGAAAATGCTTGTATACATAAACATCATATTAAATGTGCTTGTGATCAAGCAAAACTGCCTCCTTTTGTTATATTTCAACAATATTTTCTAAATCTTTTCATTTCAGGAATTATGATTCTTACCTATCTTCTCCCTGCCAATGTCTTCATGAAAAGACAAATCAGACAATAATTTACTTAGTACTTTGTAACAGTATTCAGATTTTAAAGTTTTCAAACCTCTATGTCTACAGATTCGATATGTGCTAGGTAGGTATTATTTCAAGAAAAACAATGAATGAGATTGTTAAAATACTCGTGCCTACCAATTTTTGTTCCTGAAGGACAAAACATGCCCATGATCATTTCCATACTTTGCTGCAGGTCATCATTGATGAGGATTTCTGATGCTGGGATCTGGAAGAATTTGTCCTTAAAAAAAAAAATTATAGGAGAAAATAGGAAACTATATTAATCTTTTTGAAAAGCCATAATTAATATAAAAGCATTTCAATATCATCTAATTAAAATAATCTAGACTATTTCACTCTGTGAAGATTGTAGACTTCATAAACTAGAGTTCTAGCCTAAACTCTAAAATCTGGTTTACTACTTTAAGCTAAAAACAGCATTTATATATATATATATATGTGTATATATATATATATATACATATATATATACATGTACATACATATATACACACATATATATTTATACATATATAAATATATTTATACATATATATGTGTATGTATATATGTATATATATATATAAATGGAAGTAAGAATAGTAATTAGAAAAGAGTGAGGCTTATCATTCTTTGTGTACAGGAAAAAAATCTAGTGTTAAATTTAAAAGAGTATAACGTATAGTGTATATTTAATTTTTCTCTCCTCGATCAGATTATAAGTTATACTTTCTTAAAAGAAGAAAGGGATCTTGTTTGCTTTTGTTCGCTGCTAAATCCCCATCACATACAACAGTATCTGGCATATAGCAGGTGCTCATTAAATATTTATTCAATAAATGGACCAATGAACTGTTTTGGCAAGAGAAAACATTCTCTCAAACCTACCCCAGATTGTTTCCCAACGTGTGTAGTAAACCAATTTGCCCTTACTGCGAAAAGAAATCTGGTCTTTGCCCTTGGCTCCTGGAAATCACCTCTAAGTCCTTGGAATATCAGGCCTGTTAGGAATGTCTTTGTCCTACTAGCTAAGTCTATCAGCGTGATTTAGGGCACAAAGTTTGGGGCATGTGGTATTAGCTCGATCTCTGGAAGGACTGAAACCAGATGAGCCTATGGGCTGTGTACATGTCTCTACCATGACTACATGATGGAGCCCCAATAAAAACTCTAGCCACCAAGACTTGGTGAGGCTTCCCTGGCTGGCAGTACCGCTTGTGTCCCGTTTCACATCACTGCTAGGCTGGTAACGCTGGCTGCTACTCCACAGCAAAGGGCAACTGGAAGCCCCACGTCTGGAACTTCTTGGACTCTGCCCTACGTACCTCTTCCCTTTGATGATTTTAATTTGTATCTTTAGGTGTAACAAACAATAATAGCAGAATAACTTTCAGGAAGTTCCATGAGACTTTCTAGGGGATTATCAAAACTAAGGTGGTCCTGAGAACTCCCAAACTTAGAACTGTTCTTAGAAATGAGAGAGGTTTGTGGATAGCTCTCTAGCTTCGTATGCTATAACCATCTCTCCTCCAAAGTAATTTCATTCCCTCTACTACGGAAATGTGGAGACTCCAAAAACCTGGTAAAATGCTGCTTAGATAATGTCCAGAAGGTGCAGCCATACCTCTGCCTTTGGCTCCTGGAGTAAAACTTCTGAAGACTCTCTCCTCAAATTCCTATTCTTCGATTTTTTCATTATTTGTATATTAAATTTATAGAGTCAGATTGGAACAGGATATACAGACAATTCAAGATTTATGTGCTTGCATTATTTGTTCTTCTAAGTTGCCTTAAATCCTCTCAGTAATAAAGTTGGTATGAATAAACATATTAAAATCAAAAACATATTGTTAGAAATATCTACACTCCGTTACTTACAGAATCCATGAGATAAGCTTCCAGTACCCCTGTTCCATCATCAAGAATAAATGTCATTACAAACACATGTTGAAGGGGTACAATACCCAGCACTAGTGAAGGAAGAAAAGATCAAACCATATGAATCTTCTATTCTTTATGATCAAAGTAAGATAAAAATTGTTTTATGATGTTAATTTTGTTTACTAATATAATTTGAGATTAAAAAATATATATGCCTTTTGTTCTCTAGTAACAATATATTAAGCTCATTTAGCAGGTTCACTTTGGAATATTAAACCATACCTATGTAGTGACAATGACTCATGAGCAATTCTACCTTTTTGATTAAATATTAATATAAGGTATCTTTACAATGAGCTGATAACTTGATAGAAAACACAAAAACGAATTCATGAACTACAGTTCATCACGTTAGCCACATGAAAGACAAAATTAAAATACCAGAATGTTCTAAAAAGAATAGCATGTGGCTCAATATTTATGATTTTGTAAAATGTTTCTCTCCTTTATATTATAAACACAAGGATCACGTATGTTAAGAGATCTCATCTGGTTGAATGGCCAAAAATGTCAGAATACGGGATTTAATAATTTGGTAAGATGAGGAAAAAGAAATTGAAGAGATACTAAATTATACAAAAATCCATGGGTTAAAATGTTACTTTGTGTTTGGAAATGGGAGACATTTATATGTTTAAAAAATGAAATACTGTCTTTCATTTGTGGAATCCATACTTAAAAGGATTAACTAAGGGGCAAATAGAAGAGTAAGTCAGCATACAGAGAAATGAATTAGAACACATAGACATGACAAAAGGTGGTTAATACAGAGGAACTGATTTTTAGGATTCTAAAGGTCTCGACAGGTTAAAATTGAGCTAAAACCAAGAAGGGCGAATGTAGAACCTACTCTGAGGGACCACACAAACGAAGAATTGCATTTTAGAATGGGATGAGGAGACCAAACGGGATAGCAAGGGGCTCACATGACTGGACCACAAACAAAACAGGAAACAGAAGTACCACAGAGCTGGATTACAAAAGAAAGAAAACAAAACCAAGTATACAAATAAATATACATACAATAAAATTTTCAGGCTAGTAGAAGCAAAGTGTCCAATTTTAGAGAAATAAAGGTTTTCTTTATATTCTGAACTGGCCAATATTTGTAGCCCTATTTGCAGCTTTTAAGGGCAAACTTTGAGAAGAGCATTGGTAAAGTGAAATGTTTACTAAGGAAGAGAAACAGAATAGTAAGGAATGTGGTGAATACCAAATGAAGTGAGGGTGCCTACTTGGAGAAATAAAGACTCAATGAAGGCATGACAGATATCTTCAAATGCATGAAGCTGTTGATCTTCTACAAGACCTATGCTCTAACTCTAGTAGATAGAACGTGGGCCATGTTAAAATTTAAGTAGGTAGATTTTGCTTCACTGCTAAGAACTACTTAAAAATTAAGGGGATATGTTGCTTTGCAGTGTAATGAGTCCCCTATCACTGAAAGAGTTTTAAGCCAAGGCTGGATGATCACAGTTAAGAACAGGATATAAAAAGCTTCTTATCGTTCCAACTAAAGATGTGTATTGGGTGGAGAGTGTAATAGCTGTCTCTAAAATTGTTTTGAATCCTAAGATACTATGAACTGGAGGAATTTTTCAGAATCTGTATTTGTGATTAATGATTAACACTAAAACAAATTACTGAACATTAAAATGTGAGCAATGATTAAAGATACTGGCAGATGCCTGAAAGCAAGTTTTCAAATACGTTTAAACTATGTTATGCTCTTATTATAATCACCGTGAACAGTTTTGCTTAAGTAAAGTTAAACGTTAGCTCAGTCTTTGTCTGGTTTTACTATATCCACAAACACTGAAATATAATCAGTGAGATCACCTTACACAAAGACAGTTGCAGTTGTAGAACACAGAAATTTAGCTAACCTTCCGCCACAGAAGAAGGAATCCAAGGTGTTTTATCAACCAGAGAATTTAGATTTTGTATTGGTCTCAAAGTAGAACACTGTTTACATCTGAAATTAATGACAGAAAAAAAACCATACAGATTTAAAAATAATTTATTATTATAACTCATTTAATTATAACTTACCTTTGCTGTTCAAAACACACAGTTTAAAAAGTTAATTATTAAGTAGTGTTGCACCTTCCACATTACAACACACATATTACAAACAATTATAAAAAAACAAGATTTTTACATTTGAAACAATCACAAAGATAGTATGGTTCAGAATAAACAACACTAAGTTGAGAATAAGAGAGAGGGTCCAGATCTAGATTGTTAATTAATTTGACTGATTTCTTAATTTGGTAAAATGAAAAAAAAAGAGATTATCTCTAAGGACTCTTTCATTTTATGGCTCTTTGATAGCAGCTAAGGTATTAAATAAATGTAACCAATACCAGAAAATTATTCTCATTAAAGAAGTCAGTAGTAGCAAGACTTTGGATAATATATTCAGTAAGCATGTATTTAGAGGTTCACAGTTTATAATGCCAATACTATACTTATCCTTCATAATATAAGTCAATCTGAAACTACACAATATACTAAGAATGCACATGATTTAGTATAGGTATTTTGCTTTGTTTACATACAAACGTACTTTAAATATAAGTAATTATTTTTTGTTATATATTATCATAAGATTAGGAGATGCTACTAAGAAAATATACTTGAGTAAAAATATAAAAAGAAATCAATGTTCAAAAGATTTACGTAGACTCCTTTTCATTTGTAATCTGCGGAAAAGTAGAGGGTACCTATATTAAATATTTTCCCCTTCTAGCCTTCAAATACATAGAAATTTATTCTTTAAGAGAAAAAAGCATGGAGAAAAGACAGTCTCTTTAAAAACAGTTTTCGGGGGCGCCTGGGTGGCGCAGTCGGTTAAGCGTCCGACTTCAGCCAGGTCACGATCTCGCGGTCCGTGAGTTCGAGCCCCGCGTCGGGCTCTGGGCTGATGGCTCAGAGCCTGGAGCCTGTTTCTGATTCTGTGTCTCCCTCTCTCTCTGCCCCTCCCCCGTTCATGCTCTGTCTCTCTCTGTCCCAAAAAAATAAATAAAACGTTAAAAAAAAAATTAAAAAAAAAAAAAAAAAAAACAGTTTTGGGAAAACTGGATAGCAACATGCAGAAGAATGAAACTGGACCACTTTCTTACACTATACCCAAAAATAAATTAAAAAATGGATGAAAGACCTAAATGTGAGACAGGAAACCATCAAAATCCTAGAGAAGAACACAGGCAGCAACCTCTTTGGCCTTGGCCGTAGCAACTTCTTACTAGACACATCATCAGAGGCAAGGGAAACAAAAGCAAAAATGAACTACTGGGACTTCATCAAGATAAAAAGCTTGTACAGGAAACAATCAACAAAACTAAAAGGTAGCCTATGGAATAGGAGAAGATATTTGAGTCTTCTGATATTGAATATCAGAAGACATATCTGATAAAGGGTTAGTGTCCAAAATCTATAAAGAACTTAACAAATTCAACACCCTAAAAAACAAATAATCCAGTGAAGAAATGGGCAGAAGACATGAATAGACACTTTTCCAAAGAAGGCATCCAGTTGGCTAACAGGATCCATGGAAAGATGCTCAAAATCACTCATCATCAGGGAAATACAAATCAAAACCATGATGAGATACGATTTCACACCTGTCAGAATGGCTAAAATTAACAACACAGGAAACATTAGGTGTTGGCGAGGATGCAGAGAAGGAAAACCCTCTTGTACTGTTGGAGGGAATGGAAACTGGTGGAGCCACTCTGGAAAATAGTATGGAGGTTCCTCAAAAAGTTAAAAATACAAGTACCCAAGACCAGCAATTAAACTAGTAGGTATTTACCCAAAGGATACAAAAATACCAATTTGAAGGGGCACATGTACCCCAATGTTTATAGCAGCATTATCAACAGTGAAACCACGAAAAGAGCCCAAACATCCATTAACTGAAGAATGGATAAAGAAGATGTGGTATATATTACACAGTGAAATATTACACTCAGCCATAAAAAAGAATGAAATCTTTCCATCTGCAATGACATGGATGGAGCTACAGAAGTAATGTTAAGTGAATAAGTCAGAGAAAAGACAAATACCATATGATCTCACTGACGTGTGGAATTTAGGAAACAAAACAGATGAACATATGGGATGGGAAAAAAAAGACAGGGAAGCAAACCATAAATGACTCTTAATGACAGAGAACAATCTGAGGGTTGATGAGGAGACGTGGATGGGCAATGGGCTAAATGGGTGAAGGGTATTAAGCAAGGTACTTACTATGATGAGCGCTGGATGCTATATGCAAATGATGAACCACTAAATTCTACTCCTGAAACCCATATTATACTACATGTTAATTAACTAGAATTTAAATAAAATTATGGGGAAAAAAAGGCAATAGAATAAAGAAATATTACTTCCTTAAAGACTAGGATATTAACTTTAGACATCGATAAAACAAGTATGTAAACTAAAAATTAAGTATATAAATTAAAATTTAAGGGTAACAAGTAAAAATTAAGTAGAGATTTATTACTTCCAAAGCAATAAAAGACAAAAGAGGGGAAAATTAAGAACATTTTTATAAATGAATCCAATAGAAGATTAGAGGAAAAAAATAAGCTAAATAATAACCAAAAAAGGGGAGGGAGACGGAAGAAGTAATAATGTAAGTGGAAAACAAAATAAGATGTAGAAATAAAACCTAAATATATCAGTAATGAACATATTTTAAACTTATCTACTAAAATACAACTAAAATCTAGTCCTATTTATTTATGAGACTTCCTAAAATAGAACACAAAGAAACATGAAAGCAAACCAGCAAAAGAACCTCAAAATGTAGAAAGCAAACACTGACCGAATTAAAGATCACAAACTTACAACCACAAAGGACATTAAGCACAGTCTCTAAGAAGTGATTAAACAAAGTTACAAAGGAAAAAGAAGTTTTGAATATGATTAACAAGCTTGTGTACTGAACACAAATAAACACTTTTAAAGACTAAACACAACTATTAAAGAATACACATTCTTTTTAAAATATAGGCAATATATACAAAATCTGAACATATTCTAGGATACAGCAAAGGTATATGAATCTCAAAGATCATTATGAAGTGTATCAAGCGATTTGGTTAAAAAAGTAATCTAACTAAAATACAAACAGATGTAGCACCTAAATTGTGTGCGTGAAATTTTTAAAACACACAGCTAAGTAATTCATGGGCCTAAGAAGATGTCACAATGAGAAATTAGAAAACATTTAGAAGTGACAAAAGAAAACCAAAAAACAAAAAACTACTACATATCAAATCCTGGGTTAAAGCTATGGCTATTTTCTCAGGGGAAAAATTATGGACTTAAATATAAATATTAAAAAATATACTAAAATTAATGAATTAAGTGAGGTATGCATTCAACTAAAAACATTTGAAAAAGAAAAACCAAGGGAACCTAGGGGCACCTAGGTGGCTCAGTCCACTGAGCATCCGACTCTTGATTTTAGTTCAGGTAAAGATCTCATGGTTTGTGGGTTTGAGCTCTCTGTCAGGCTCTGTGCTGACAATGGGGAGACTGCTTGAGATTCTTTCTCTCCCTCTAACTCTGCCCCTCCCTTGCTCATGCATACTTGCTTGCTCTCTCTCTCTCTCAAAATAAATAAATAAACTTAAAACAAAAAAACAAAAAAATGAAGAAATCTAGAAAAAGTAAATGCAGAAACTAAAGATAAGAACAATAAAACAACAGAGAGTATCAACAAAACAAAAGCTAGTTATTTTGGCAGAAAAAAAGTCAAGGAAAAAAGGTGCAAATAATATTAAGTGGATTCAGGAACAAAGTAGAAATTTAAAAATCATCAAAAGTACTATGAACAATTTTATGTCAATAAATGTAAATTTACATAAGAAATGAAACTCTAAAAAATTCATTAATAAAATAGATTCAAGAAATAAAAAAAAAAAATAAAAGATGTATAACTGTTAAATAAACTAAAGCATTAGTTTAAAATTCTGTTTACAAAGAATCAGGTCCAGAAATCTGAGCAAAATAACTAAAACCTAAAGTAAAGCCTTTAAGGTTTTATAAGCATTTAAATAATTTGACTGTATTAATATTTTACAAATTCGTAAAACAAAAGAAACCATAAAGTTAAAAAGGTAAAGAGAGAGACTGTAAATTTCTTGAAATGCATGTCTACTTCTAGCTCCCAATATATCCTGATATCTTCCAGTTCCTCAGTGGCAACTAATCTGTAACTTCGTGGCACAGAAATTTTGGAATTCAATCACTTAATTTTTACTAGGATACAGCTCTAAACCTTTCTCTGTATTAGTATCTAAATCTTTGTGAAAGAAAGCAAATGAATATTAACCTCTGGGCTAGCCTTATACTTAGCACATTGTTGGTATTCGATATATATGCTATGAGAAGAATAAAATATATACCAGAAAAATCTAGAATCTTGTACATATAAATTGGTATTCAATAAGTATCCACTGAATATATAGCAACTAGTAGGATAAAATAATAATTACTCCTAAGCAGTTATTAATTCTCAAAATTCCCAGATCTGAAAGCATACCCATAGTGATGTACTTTTCCTTGTATAAGGAATGGTACTGAAAGATCAAGGACTTCCAGGTCTTCATAGCCAGATCTCACAGGAATTACACTATGAAACTTATTTGCGAGTTTGTAGATTTCACCGAGTGTTCCTCCTATGAACACAGAATAAATAAATCCTTCAAGTAGTACAAATATAATGAAGGCAAAATTGAGTGTGTATTTAAGGAACACATGAGGTATAGTAAAAGACTAAAAGGACTGAAAGAAAAATACAATGAAGAATTTAGATGATTAATACATTTATTATAAAAAATAATAATTTGTAAACTTAGTATCCTGCACTGATTAAAGAAACCACTACACAGAAATGCTGAGACTTGAGCAAAATAGAAGACTTGTGAAACTTTAACCATCTTCCTAAATTTATACAAACTGCTCTTTTATGCTATAACACTTTGGTTTAAGTATTCAAAAGAAAATAAAATTGAGAGCCAAAATATAACAGGATTCTCATTATTAAATTTGCTATATACTAATAATGTCTAGGTAAATTAAGTCTTGAGTTTGAAATAAGTCTTTTAAACTTCCAGGTCAACATTAAATTTATATATAGCTGCGAAAAGTTTGTGTAATTACAATTCATGTATAGTGTTTGTTCATTTTTCCTAAAAAAATCATTACATTTCTAATTGTATGACACAGTGGCCATGAAAGCCATCACTAGCTAAGAAGAAAGAGTAAGCCCAGGGGTGCAATACTACTAGAAGGCAGGATTATCTAGAATAACTCAAACCTACTGGTTCCTTTCCTGGTGTATTTTTCACCTAGATTGAGCATTCCTCCTTCCTAGGGAAAGAGAATATGATTTATAAGAATACTTTTGTGTATTTCCTAATACTTGTAACGTTAAATTCAATTGTGAGGGGAAAGTACTCCCAGCACAGCAGAATAAGGACGTCCAAAAATACACTGCTCCATACAAGGAAAAAGAACACTGGCAAAAACTGTCAAATTTGACTTTTTTTTGGAACTCTAGAAATTAACCAAAGCCTTGCAACAATCCAAGGAGTGTTTATTCAGAAAAAGCAGATAAATCTTGGTAACAACAAGTTTTGTGGTGTTCTAAGTTGCCCAGCTCCCATTCCTCTTTCCACAGCTTTGCGAAGCTGGAAGCCACAGTTCTGCCGTGTCGCACTGCAGTTAGGTCCTTGCCCCTGGATAGGGTTATAATACTCAGAAATATGATAAAATAAAAATAGCTTGCATTTTGATGAAACCCTTTTATATTTTAAAGTTCTTTCAGATATATTTTCACATTTGAGTTTCGTTAAAAAGCTCTGTAAGTCAGTGTTATTACTCTGGATATATTTATTTGTTCAATAAATATTTACTGAGAGCCAGCTGCATGCCTAGTGTCCTACCCTAGGAGCTAAAGATACAAAGATTAAAATGAACATGGACCCTAGTTACAGTCTAGTAAGCAAACAAGTCTATAAACAGATATAATACAAATACAATACAGGAAGAAAAGTGATCTACTGAAAGTTCATACACTATGCAATAAAAACCACTCAAATCTGCCTTGAGAATCAAGAGTGCTTGGTAGGTGTAGGTGTTCATTAAATATTTCACATGAATTGTTGAGTAAAGGGAATTATTAAGTTACTTATGAACATTAGAGCAGAAATTCTCAGGAGAATAGCAACGGAATGGCAAAGAGGTACAGAGAAATACCCTGGGTTTAGGAATTGCCTCCGGTTCAATATGGCTGGAGGGTGTAATGGAAATTGAGGAATGGCAGGAGGTGAGACTGAAAGTTTGTGGGATGAGTGACAGGATCAGGAGCTAAAGGTACTTCTTCATTCAAGCTTCTTTTGGACCCTCAAGGTCAACTTGGCTTTAACACAGAATTCTCTGGGAGGCAGTTCACAGGAGAACACTAAAGTGTACTGGATATCCTCCTAGTTGGCCCTACAAGGACAATACTTATAGAAACTGATAGTTTCAAAGCTTTATTTTATTTTTAGGGCATACGAATAGTCTTACTCCATTTTTGTGTGTGTGCATGTGTCTGTGTGCTTCGTTTTTATATCTACTTACTGGTAGAGATTCCAGTATTGCTAATGGACTAAGATGATACCACATTTCACTCATCAAAGTGGACACATTTTTTAAAGTGCTAGTATATGATGATGAAGATGGGGGAACAGATAATCTCATATGCTACTAAAGCATATGAATACTACGACAGCTTTACTGGAAAGTAACTGGGCAACATTTACTTAATTCTTTGTGCCCCCTCCCACCCCCCAATTACATTTCATTCAGGGAGAAGAAACTTCATCACAGAGTTAATATGTCAAAAAATCAGAAACAATTCAGTTCCACTTACTACCTGTAGTGGGGAAGAGCCACAACTTCTCTATGATTCAGTTTTCTCGTGTATAAAAAAGAGCTTACAATAGGACCAAATGAATAGGAATATTGTCATGGTTAATTAATACATAGAAATTAAAATCATTTCTGGTATGCTGTAAGTGTATTAAAATAAGAGATGTTCATGAAAGGATACCAATGGTCATATTCATATGTATTTACATATATGTATTTTCTAAAACAGGTACATATTACTTTTATAAATAGAAAAATGTCACTAACAAAAATGATCATAATCCACTATAATAGAGATTAATTCATTTATAAAATAAAACTAAAGATTTCTCTGCAAATTAAAGATGATGTTTTCCTTCTATTATAGAATATTACTGAGGAAGAAAAGTCTCAAGGAAAATTATGAAACTTTAAATTTGGCATGGGGAAAAATAAGTTTATATGTGTGTGTGTGTGTATATATATATATTAGATAGATATTAAAATTAGTGAAAAGTGGAAAGGAAATGCAAAAATATATATGACTCAGTTTCTTCCTTTTAAAACCTGTCAAGTTATCTTTACTTGTTTCCAGGGTCCCTTCCTTGACCTAAATATCAATAGATGACTTTCATTTTTTTTTTTTTTTTTTATGGAACAACAGTGACATCCAGAGGCCAAGGTAACAACAACTGTACATAACAAGCAGCCTCTTGATGAAACACTGCTCGACAATGAGCTTGAATCTGATTAAGATTCTATCTGAATTCAACAAGATAGACAAATGCAAACACTTGAGTTCAATATACGATTTCCAAATGTAATTCAGATTAGTTTATATGTGTGTATATATATATATTTAAATCTATTTGTTATATATAATATATTCTATTTTATGTAATTTAAGTTAATAATATTTTGACTTTGTATGTCCTAGGTTGCCCCTAAAATATATTTAACAATCATTAATCACAGAAAGACACAAGCAAAAGCTGTATTCTAATAAAACAGTAACTTAAATACCTTACCTTCTATCAAAATCAGACAGTCACTTGAAAGTGGGAGAATACCATTATTTTTCACAAAATGAACAGCTACTTTTCGTTCTCCTTGATCTTTAGTGGTCCACATTTTAGAATCATATAATGATGTATTTTGTAGTTTAGTATCTGGGATTTTAGTGGCACCCTCTTGTAAAATTATATCCAAATCACCCTCATGTGGAACTTCTTGCCTAAAATCATTGACAATGAATAATACAAAACAATTGGTATAAGCTTGGAAATTCAAATTTAACAATTATCCAATTAAGACAAATTTGTTTACATGCTGATGCACCAGCTACTTATTTTAAAATGTGGAGATAATTCACTTTGCCGATTAAATGACTCTTATTCACAGAAAAAGATTTGATGATACTTCACAACTAAGTAGATCCATATCATAACTATATTAACTGCTAGCAATTTCCTTATCTGGTTTTGTGATACCAAGGATCCTATAACTATTTCTAACACCAATTCATTCTCCTCTGTAAGGAATGTTAAACTTCTCCAGGGGAGAAAAAGATACAGCTTCCTGTTAAATATTCACTTACCACCTAAGTAATCTCTTTCACAGGGCACCCACTTTACAAACCAATACTCCTTTCAATTCCTTTTAACCTAGACTAATAATTTTAAAAAGTCACGTGGTAAAGTATGTATACAATGGAAATGGCATGATCTGGAACCAAAATGTCTATGTCCTTGCCTTGGTTCTGTCTCCAACCAGCTGTGTAACTTCAGGTAACACCACTTCACCTTTTCGACATGATTCTCTTATTTGTCTAAAAAAATGCTCATAGACGGTAGTTTTGTTTGGCAAAGCTATATGACTTTACAGAATTTAACAAACTGTAATTTAATAATTCTTCAACAATTATATAAAATCTGTATTTATATTTTAATTCCGACCATCATTTTAAGCTCAAATGGGTAGAAGATGGTCCCCATTTTATTTAAAGTTTGATGATCAAAACTGTCTACAAATAGTATTATACTTAGATTGTGAAGGGCAAAATATACATATATTAATGTACATACACAAATTATATTTATATACACAAATATAATGGACTATGTAATTATATAATTTTATAATATATATACACACATGCACACACAAAAATATAAAGGAAATGTACTATATTTACACATTATATATTTAAAGGGAAGACAGTCAAATTGCATAAAAAAGAAAAAAGAGATTAAAAATAAATTCAGAATGTCTTGAGTTAGTAAGTACATAATCATTCTAATATAAATTTATTTTATATAAATATATAAGTGTATGTATTCATGCATGTATTAAAGCTACTAAACTGAATTTAGATCTGAAAACAGCACCCACTTTTATTTATTACTACTAAGAAATATCAGAAGGATTTACTAAGAATTTAGTATTTTCTCTTAAAAATGTTAACCACTGTTTCAAAATATAATATACAAAGTCACAATTTACACACTGCCAGGACTTAAACTGATTGGTATATATGAAAATGTATATTCACAAAATTATGAAATAAAAACTTCCGTTTTATTACAGAAAATACTTACAGTGCATGACATTTAGGACAATGAAGTTTAACAGACTGAAGGAGACTTCTGGGCTTATATGACCTTAATTTTGCTCGAATACGATACTGTTGAGGAGCTTTTTGTTTCAAAATAGCACATAGTGGGGTTTTCTCCAAATAGTGATGATCTGTAAGAACTAAAAATAATTTTAGATTAAGTCAGAATAACCTACAAGAATAATAAGAGTATTCATAATACGAATTCCCCTGAACCAGATACAATAAAACTGAATTATTTAAGTTCTATTGCCAAGCTTGTTAATATTTTGCCACATTTGTCATCATCTCCATCTGGTAGCTCCCTCTCCATATATACCTCCTTACATATTCATATGTATACATGAATCATTTATGAATAATTTCCAGATATCATGCTCTTTTATCCCTAAATACTTCAGTGTGTATTTCAGAAGATTCTGAAGATTGGCATATTATAGTGCAATTTTCAACGTCAGAATATGTAACACTATCACTGAATCAACAGACATTATTCAAATTTTTCCAACTGTCCCTATAATGTTCTTCCTTAGATCTTTATTTTTGGGTCCAGAAGCCAGTCCTGAACCATGCATTGCATTTATTTTTCCTGTCTCTTTGGACTCCTTTAATGTAGAACGGTCCCTCAGCTTTTCTTGGTCTTTTATGACACTGATATATTTGAGCAGAGGCCACTGACTTGGGTGTGTCTGGTTCTGCTCATGGTCAGATACAGATTATGCCCTTTTGGCAGTCTAGTATACTGCAAGTGATACAGGCGTCCCTCTCTGCATCGGAACAAGAGGCATACAAGTCACCAGCGTTTTCATTCCTGGGGATGTTAACTTTGCTCACTTGGTTATAGTGGTGTTCAACAGGTTTCTTCTCCACTATAAATTTATTATTTCCCCCTTTATAACTAATAAGAAAGTACTTGGGGAAATAGAAGTATCTCACTCCTCAGTAAACATTTTAGGATCCTGCTAGTTTAGAACCCACTAGTGATTTACAACTAAGTCAGTTATTACTATCATGGTTGCAAAATGATTTTTTTTTCCTAACTTCATCATTCCTTTTACATTTGTTAGCTGTCATTCTATTGTAACTAGGAGCTCTCCACTCAATCACACATATTTATTCATTCATTCATTTGTTCTTTTATTTACTATCCACACGGACTAATGGATCCCTACTACTGTTCGGCTTTACTCCATCACTAGTATTTTTTATTTTGATGCTCAAATTGTATCAGATTTGACATGCTCCATAATTAACTGAGAACTTCTTTACCTTCTGGCACAACAAGATGTTCTGGATTCATCTTGTAATTCTCCTGTCCCAATCCTGGAGCCTGCTATCTCTCCAAGCAGCCCTGATTCTTTTTAAGGGGGAATATCATTTATAAACCAAGATCTGTGCATGAGGTGCATCCATTGCTATTGGGTTGCCATTATTTTGAAGCCCTTTAACTGGACAGAGATAGGATATACATGCAAATGTGTTCATACTTATACTTCCACACATGCACCTGCACATGTATAAATGTATACATATACACATACATGTATATATATGCACACACACACACACAGACATCTACATCTATTTCTACATTTATTTATAAAATCATGAGTCCATACTGACCCTTCCTATTCCAATACAACACCACAAGTTTCTTTCTTCTGGCTTTCCCTCATTTCACAGTTATATGTTCTTTCTCCAATGAGAAACTCGTATTATTATAATAGTATATTACAGAGCTTCATTTAATAGACTCATGCTGAATAATTTTTTTTCTTAATTTTTTTCATCTTAGCTGAACTAACAGAAAGAGGGCATCTGACAGATTTACTATCATTGCTAACATTAAAGTTTTGGGGTATACTGCCTTTATGGGCACATCGCTAAATTCATAGTGTGAATAGATAAAAATTATGTCATATATTTTATCACATTCTCAAAATGAAATAAGCCCCACTGCACTGTTAAATAGTAGAATATGTTTTACAAACCTCATACCTGTAGGACTTAAAATATATGTTCAATGTAAAAACATGTATCTTTCTGAGTTCCATTTTATGCCAGTTAGGATGAGGCACGGAAATGAAAGATAAGTATGTGTATATTTTTGCCCTCATGGATATCTGCTCTCAATAATATATAGGAACAAATTAGTTGATAAATGTAAGGACAGACTTTATTATGCACACTATTACACCCTTATTTCAAAAATGAAACATAGTCTTACTTGTAGCTGATAGTTGCTGACATCTTTCTACCTCATATAGTGATACTGATCCAGAGCCTAGAGGAAAGAAAAAGGAAGAATTATACAGTTTTAAGATCCATGAAAAATTCCATATGGAACTGAAAACTATATAACATTGTTGATAAGAACTGAAGAAAATCTAAACAATAGTAAAACATGCCATGTTCATGGACTAGAAGGCTCACAACTGTTTGTTAAGACATCAATTCTCTCCAAACTGATCTGCAGAGTCAATATAATCCTAATCAAAATCGCAGAGGCTTTATTACAGTAAAAGATAAGAGACTCTATCACTTAAGTGGAAATGCAAAGAATCCAGAATATAAAATATAATTCTGAAAAAGAATAAAACTGGTTGGGGCGCCTGGGTGGCACAGTCGGTTAAGTGTCCGGCTTCAGCCAGGTCACGATCTCGCGGTCCGTGAGTTCGAGCCCCGCGTCAGGCTCTGGGCTGATGGCTCAGAGCCTGGAGCCTGTTTCCGATTCTGTGTCTCCCTCTCTCTCTGCCCCTCCCCCGTTCATGCTCTGTCTCTCTCTGTCCCAAAAATAAATAAAAAACGTTGAAAAAAAAATTAAAAAAAAAAAAAACTGGCAGACTTATGCTACCTGACTTAAAGACTTATTATAAAGCTACAGTAATCAAGGCAATATGATATTGGCATAAACACTGACAAGCATATCAAGAGAATTACATAGAAAGCCTAGAAATAAACCAGCACTTACATGGTCACTTTGATTTCTGATAAAGCAGGAAACAACCCAAAGAGAAAGCACAACCCTGGTGCTACAAAAACTGGAAATTAGTTTTAGGAGAAAAAAGTTTACTTCATACCATACTATGAAGTATTTCTGACTGGAAAACCCAGAAATAAATCCACATTTACACTCACTTGATTTTTGACAAAGACACCCAACCCATCTCATAGAAAAAAACAAAAAACAAAACAAAACAAAAAAAACCAAAAAAACTAATGGTGCAAAGACTGGAAATTCATATTAAAAACAATGTCTACCTCATAGGGTACTACTGGGTATTGCAAGGGAATTAGCGATACAGGCAATACAGATGAATTTCAAAAACAGTACATAAGAGAGAATATATTATTCCGTTTATTTGAAGTTATAGACAATCTATGGTGGAAAAAAAAATCAGAACTTCTGGGGATGGACTGAATGGGAAGGAACATGAGGGAACTTCCTGCAACAAGGGTGATATTTTACATTTTTAAAGGGATTTAAGTTACACAGGTTTATGTATTAGCCAGAACTTGTGGAATGGTACACTTGAGTTGTCCACTGCGTTTAACTTTACATCAAAAATCAAAAAGGTTCATCAACAAATACTGAATTCTAGTTAATGATGTTGTTCTGAAGTTTTGAGGAGGTGTATTTCTTTCTGCAACTTACTTTGACATGGATCAAATTATAAGATGGGTTGATTAGGAGAGAGTGAGAGAGAAATATATGACAGAACAAAGAGAATCCAGAGAGCAGGTATATGAGTGTTCACTGTACAACTGTTCTAATTTTTCTGCATGTTTGAAAATTTTTATTATTTTGGAAAAACACATTGTGAAAGAAATAAATGGAGAAGTGGATAAGACAATAAAGTTATTAAAGTTAATAAGATGATGGCTTGATGAACACCATAAAATAGGATTTTACTTTAACAAGAAAGCAAAGGAGGGGTGCCTGGGTGGCTCAATAGGTGAAGTGTCTGACTTTGGCTCAGGTCATGATCTCACGGTTCAAGGGTTCAAGCCCCACATCAGGCTCTGTGCTGACAGCTCAGAGCCTGGAGCCTGCTTTCAATTCTGTGTCTCCATCTCTCTCTGTCCCTCCCCTGCTTGACTCTGTCTCTCTCTTAAAAATAAATAAACATGAAAAAAAAATTAAAAAAACAAGAAAGCAAAGGAAGTGAACACAGCAGTAAGTTTTAATAGTGCTTTCTAAAATGAATTTGAGACTAAAAAAGTATCCATATTTTGGAATTACTTTGGCTTACATTCTATTGCATATCATAGTATGTTTGGGCAGCACCTGGGTGGCTCAGTGGTTAAGCATCTGACTCTTGGTCATGATCTCACAGTTCATGAGATCAAGCCTGATATTGAGTTCTATACTGACAGTGTGGAGCCTACTTAGGATACTCTCTCTCTCCCTCTCCCTCTCCCTCTGTCCCTCCCCCCACACTCTCTCTCAAAATAAATAAACTTAGAAACAATTTTATAGTATGTTTTTATAATTTTTTTTATGTGGCATCATATACAAACATGCATTAATAGTCCTTCTTCCTCAACATCACTAATAAATGGCATAAGAATTCATGACAAGAGAACCTGACTGGACATCATAAGCTGGCTAAGTAGAATTTCAATGAATCTGATCACCTAGTATTAGCCATTCTGCATGAAGTGAAAACAATTGTAAAAACCTTAAAAGCAGTCGAATAAGAAGAAAATCAGAGAAACTGTGTAAAATATATATATGGTCTCCCTCAAACTGATTAAAATAATTTTAAAAACCCAATGGAAAATCAGGTAAAAGGTAAGAGCAGACAATTCAAAGAAGAGGAAGTAAAAAGGGCTGATAAAATATATAATATTTTCTATTTCCCAAGTACTCAAGGAAACTAAGTAAGATATCACCTTATATTTGCTACACTGCTATTTGCATATGAATTCTATGGCATTTTGTCATATAATCTGACAGCATCTATTAAAATAAAAGATGTGCTTATCCTTTGATCTGCCAACTCCTCTTTTAGGAGTTTATTTTAGAGAAAGAAAAGCAGGAATTTATAATTGTTCAAGGATAGCTATTAAAGCATTATTTGTAAGAGCAAAAAACTGGAAACCTGAAGGTCTATCAAATGGAAAATAGCTACATTTATAATGTTAGACTCACATTACAAAACATTATGCAACTATTAAAATGAGTTTAAGATTTGGGGTGCCTGGGTGGCTCAGTTGGTTGAGCGGCCGACTTTGGCTCAAGTCGCGATCCCGCGGTCCATGAGTGCGAGCCCCGCGTCGGGCTCTGTGCTGACAGCTCGGAGCCTGGAGCCTGTTTCAGACTCTGTGTCTCCCTCTCTCTGACCCTCCCCCGTTCATGCTCTGTCTCTCAAAAATAAGTAAATGTTAAAAAAAAATTTTTTTTAAATAAAATAAAATAAAATAAAATAAAATAAAATAAAATAAAATGAGTTTAAGATGGATTAGCCCAGGAAGAGATCTATGATACACTGACAAAGCAACTATGTAGTATGTCCCATTTTTTAAAATATTTTAAACAGAGGGGAAAGTCATATCTGTTAATGTACAGGCATATATATTTCTATAAACATGAAAGTGCTGAAGAAACCACACTGTTAACATTACCTCAGTAGTGGGCATAAAGGCATGAGGAAGCTGTGTCACTTGGTATTATGGCATGTATTATTAACTTTATAGTTTAAAAATAATTTAAAAATCTCTGAAAAAGGAGAAAAGAAATTTCAAAAAGTGTAATTACAAATTATGCTGTCTCCAAATGACTGTCAGTTGAAGTAAATTGCCCTCCTAATTGTAGTTTAATCACAGATCTGGCTAGGTGCTAGGAAATGTGGAGAGTTTTAAGGCAGAGAGAATAAAGAAATAAATTTAAAATATGTCCAAAAAATCAGGGGCACGTGGGTGGCTCAGTCAGTTGAATGTCAATTCTTGATTTCAGGTCAGGTCATGATCCCAGAGTTGTGGGATCGAGCCCTGCACCAACCTCTGTGCTGAGCATGGAGCCTGATGAAAATTCTCATTCTCTCTCTCTCTCTCTCTCTCTCTCTCTCTCTCTCTCTCTCTCTCTC